TATCCCCAACACTAAGCATATAAGATTCACTTAGAATATAAGATTCACTAAGCATATATATCATCGGACTCTACACTAAGTATAACAATAAAGCATATCATCAAATTACTACAGTAAATGCAACATCCCATGATATGCCGATCAACCATGATACTTGTTAGGAGGGTCATGAATGGCACCCTGACGAAGTCAGCACATGGCGGAATGATGTCCCATAGGTTGCACACCTCCTCCTCGCTCAACCTCATTCTTTGAGCTACGATGGCTTCACCAAGTGGGTCGTCATCATCCTCATCATCCTCATCATCTTCATCATCTTCTGCTTTGTTGACATAAATCACGGCCAGCTTGGGTCTTTCTGCTCTGAAGGAGAAGCTGATCAACTCACCACCAGTGATACACATGTGGGCGATGAAACGGACCCATCCATCTCCTCCCACCCGCGTCATATTTTGCCCTTTCTTGACCTCCATAGTGTAGGGGCCCCCGGGAGCCTCAAAGGTCACAGAGTCTCCGGTCAGCTTGTTGAATTCTGACCTCACATTGCATGGGACGATCTGTGTACAAAAAGCAAAGTGGTATATAAACGATGCATTAATGCCAATAACACTAAAAACAATATAGTGGTTACTAGTTTCATATAATTTATTACCGCCGCATGAAGAAAATTAGACTCGAAGTAGATGCCGAACAGCGTGCCAGTTGCAAGGCTGCTGGCGCACCTTGACTTGCACCGCCGACATGGTGGTGGTGGTGGTGGCGCCATTTCCCTAAAGCAATATGATTAAAGGATTAATAATTCAAAAAGTAAACATAAAGTTTTCAATACACATCAGGTTTTGAATAATCTACACGTCACGTTCACATCATAGAGAATACACATCAGGTTCACATGGCAAGCAAATTAATAACTAAATTATAGTTCAATTTAGACAATGACTTAATAGAGATCATGTAACCCAAACAGAGCCTAATAATAAGATAAATGGCATATTGCCATTATTGCGCATGCATACAAGCAAAAGTAGTTCAATCGAGAGAGAGAACCCCTCTCTAAACCCTATTACACTAGGCACCGCCGCCGCCACTAAACAAAAGCCAAGGCAGGACGAGAGAGAGAACCCCTCTCTAAACCCTAGAACACTAGGCACTGCCGCCGCCGTCACTGCTCCAGGGACAGTAGACAAGGAAGAAGAAACCAAGCCTCCACCCTTCTGATGCCCTTAATCCCCCCCTCGCTCAGGTCAGTTCACTCGCTCCCTTCTGCTGCCCTCAATTCCCCCCTCCCGCCTCTACCCGCTTCCTTTTCTGTCTCCTGGATTCGACCAAGTTTGACTGACCAAACTTGTGCATCTGGATTAGTTCCTCACCTAACCCCTCTCTCTACTCTCTACACTTTTCTGTCTCTTCTGTGCAAGCGAAACATGCACTCGAGGATACAAAATTGACCAGCTGTTGTGTTCTTAATTCTCCTAGGCTAGGACATATTTAGCACCAGCTAGAACGCACAAGCTGCAGGAGCCGGCCAACATAGTCACACCATCAACCACACCTGGTATACATCTAGTATGATCACCTAACCCAGCCACCTTACTTGACACCCCCGATAAGATAACCACGTAGTATAAATGTCAACAAATACACAACAATTCGGTACACTTCCACCTAAAACAACCGTGCACGCACTTCACGGCGAAGTTGTCGGACTTCAGGCTGGCCAAGGCCGCCACGGTGGAGTACAACTGCCTGCACAACGTGCCCAAGAACCGCCCCACCATGCGCGAGGTCGTGGACTCGCTCGAGCCGCCGCGGCGAATCGGTCGAAGCCTAGCTAGCTAGTGGTGGCGCGCGTAAGGAGGAGGAGATGGAGGGGGACTTACGGGGCTGGAGCGTCGGAGGAGACGAGAGGCGACCGTGCATGGTGGCGGCGCACGGCGCCGTCGACGGGGGTGAGGCGGCCGGGGAGGAACCCTAACCGTGGCGGCGTCGTTAGGCGGAGGGGATCGATAATGTCAGAGTGAGGGGTGGGGGCGCTCGGGCCGGTTTTCTTTTCCTCTAGTAGTAGCGCTGGGTAGAGGCCGGCGCTACTACTAAGCCCACCAGCTATAGCGCCCGTTCGAAACAAACGCTACAGGTAAGTGGGCTACCGTTTTTGCCCTGCGGCCCATGTAACAGCAGCGCGGCCCAAGCTAACAAACGATGTTGTTATTTATTAGTAGTAGTGTGTTTTCTACACAACGCTACTGGTAAATACCAGTAGCGTGTGGTCATAAACAGGCGCTACTGGTAAACTTCTATTTATAAGCATTTTCCTAGTAGTGGCAACAGGGAGGACGCCACACGCGCATCGCCGTTGCCATGTGAACCAGCCGCCAGCCAACCTCCGGTGAGCGTCTCCGCATCGGTGAGCCGCTCCCCGGTCCCTTCCTCCTGCTCTCCCATATCCTCCTCTGATTCCTAGTTGCACCTTTGATGCAGGACGCGGCCACCACTGGACCTTAGATGTGCGCGAGCGCCTCAAACCGCCCCTATCCAGATCGTCGTCGGCCCTATGTAGCCCGACTGGGGATCGCCACCAGCCCCTCCCACGTCGACCGATATGCGTCGCGGAGTGGAGGGACGCCGTTAGCAAGAGGAAGGGGAAAAGAATGGCGTGCAACTGCCGTTAGGGGAGGAGGGGAGATCAGCGGCGGCGGCGGCTAGGGTTATCTGGAATGAGACCTGCGTCTTCGTAGGTTATTTGTTGTGATGAGCATGGGACTGAAAATAGGTGTGGGGCAAAAATAAACCGATGGAAGTGGCGGTGGTGGTGGGAGGACATACGAAGAAAAACCGGACGAAAAAAACCTGACGAAAAAAAATCAGACGAAAGTGGTGGGACTATTCAACCAACTCATCCATTAGGAGTAGAGATATGTCTGTGCTTATTATTAGCCTAGTACAAGATTAGATAATGGACATACATATTTACTAGTAAAATTTTGTTTGCAAAATGTTTGTGGGGGGCATGGGCCCATGCTGGATCCGCCCATGGATCCGCGTAATATGCGCAACACTTGATAAGCTTTTTAAAGTCAAATTTTTAGATGTGAATACTTATGAAGAAGTTAGGAAGTAATATTTTAAATTATATGTACTACTTAATCTCTACACTCAATTATGATTTTAGCTCCATATGATTGTACAGAACTTCATATAATCGTACAATTATTTATGACTTTACGTTAAGTGTATTTGTACTTCTGTAGATGGATGATTGTAAACTTGTGGACAAATCAGTAGTCCCGAGTTTACATTAAGTTTCCTCTCATGTGTTTTGACGTATGGTTCCTCTTTGTCCTATATGTGGAAGATACTCCCTCTATGGTTGAATGGTCATATGTATGTGAAATCTTCCATGTTTTCCGTTCAAACTTGTGGAATTTGCAATGTGTATGTGAAATCTTCTGAAGTATACCGTTGAAACTTGTGGATTTGTTCGCTGTTCTCTTGTATGGAGCTTATCACTGTACAGTTGGTTGAAAAATCAGAGAAGAGCGAACAGCTTGCCGGCTTACAAATAGGCCAAATGCGTGTCCTGGCTGAGCCACCCACAGCCTTGTGCTCCTAGTAGGAAATTAAAGAAATAAAGATGGCTTCTTCTACCACTAGCAGCGGCAGCAAGACTCTGCGTGTCCTGCTATTGCCCCACTTTGCGACTGGCCACATCCACCCCTTCACCGAGCTTGCCGTTAGCCTCGCCGCGTCGTCTAGCCCAAACGCCACCGTAGAAGCCATCATCGCAGTCACGCCGGCGAACGTTCCGATCGTCCAGTCCTTGCTGGAGCGCCATAGCGCAGCAACTGTCAAGATAGTTACCTATCCGTTCCCAACGGTGGAGGGCCTGCCCAAGGGTGTCGAGAACCTTGGGAAGGCGGCCACTCAGGCAGATGCTATGCGCATCAACATCGCCGCCTCGACCGAACCCCTGATGCGCCCCGCGCACGAGACGCTCGTCCGGGCGCAGTCTCCAGACGCCATCATCACTGACATGCTCTTCACCTGGGGCGCCGGCATCGCCGACGAGCTCGGCGTGCCATGCGTCCCATTCCATGTCACCGGCGCCTTCCCGATGCTCGCCATGCGCCACCTCATGATGGACGACGCCGCGATCGACGGAGATGACATGGTGACGGCCCCTCCGTTCCCGACCCCTCAGATACGGGTCCCAAGGACTGAGGTGCCCGACTTATCGATATTTCGATACGTCTTCGACAAGATTCATTCCATGCAAGCTGCCTGCTTCGGCCTCGCCGTCAACACATTCTCAGGCCTGGAGCAGCAGTACTGCGACATGTACACGGGCCAAGGGTACGTCCAGCGCTCCTACTTTGTAGGGCCGCAACTGCAATCCTCTGAGAGCCCCACGGGTGACTCAAAGTCACAGTGCATCGGTTGGCTCGACACAAAGTCGGACCATTCGGTCGTGTACGTGTCCTTTGGCTCGTGCGCCCTAGTATCGGATGCTCAGCTGGACCAACTTGCTCTTGGGTTGGAGGCCTCGGGGAAGCCGTTTTTGTGGGTCGTCAGGGCGGCCGACAAGTGGACTCCACCAAAAGGGTGGGAGAAGCGTGTCGAGGACCGGGGGCTCATCATCAGATCCTGGGCTCCACAAACCGCCATACTTGCGCACCCTGCAGTGGGCGCGTTTCTGACGCACTGTGGGTGGAACTCCGTCCTAGAGGCAGTGGCTGCGGGCGTGCCTATGCTCACATGGCCAAAGGTGCACGACCAATTCGTCAACGAGAGGCTATTCACAGATGTGCTAGGAATCGGGCACCGACTCTGGCCGCATGGCGCTGGCTTACGGAGCGAGGATTACGAAAAACATGAGCTGATCCCGGCCGACGATGTGGCCCGGGCATTGCTCACATTCATGCATTCTGGAGGACCTGGGGACGTTATGAGGCCCAGGGTAATGGACCTCGCCTCAAAGTCTCATGCCGCCATCGCACAAGGAGGCTCCTCGCAGCAAGATTTGCACCGCCTCGTCAACGATCTCATGGCAGCAAAGGTGGGGCGGAGCTAGCTAGCTTGCTAGCTGCCATGCATGAGTTAATTAAACTCATCGCACCTAAGTGAATCATTATGTGGCTTTCAGTCTATTACATATATTTTTTTCCTGTTGCAATGCACGACGTATGTATGTTTTCGTGTAGTATTTGTTTTGACATTCTGTCTTTTGTACACGTATGTTTTTTCTCAATAAAATCAAATAAAATCTCTTCAGCCCTTTACTGTATTGCAAATTTGTGGGCATGTCCACGTGTTACTCTTGCAGCTAGCTACATGACACATTCTGTGCAGTCTTGAGAGAATTGGTTACACTATATTTCAATGAAATTCGACTGTATTTGGTTTAATGTACGAGAAATAATATTGAAAATACATATTCTTTGATATATTTATCCAATTATTGAGGTGGACCTTTTTGTTTGCATGTTAAGGTGTTTTTCTTTTAATGTTGTGGTGACATGTGTGTGTTAACCGAAATAGAATGGTGAAGACCTATTTATTATTGGGAAACGTTTATAATCGGCGGACCGGCCGAAGCTTGGGCCGGTCGCGCCTCGCTCGCTCAGGTAACCATCAGGAAACCACCAGACTCAGCAAGCACATGACACAAACGAGCAGAAAAGAGGACACGTCCATCATGGGACCCACACACGATCTATCCCCACCTTATCTCTTCCTCCTCTCTCCCTTCCTCCTCCTGTTTTCCTCTTTCTGCTCATCCCGATTCCTCACCACCGCGCCGCTGTGCACCGCTTGACGAGCTTTTTATCCATGGCAAGAGGAGGGTGCGATGTAGTAGG